TCAGCTCCCGTGTTTAGTCCCCTCGGATGATTCAACGTGCTGCAGACAGAAGGCAGCCACCTGGCATGTACCTGTCTCCCTGGGCCTGGAGTCCCCCGTCCCGGAGGGCACGGCCCCGGCCCACGGCACCGGCGTGAGGGCCTGTGCGATGACGGAACGCACCGTCTGTGCGCGGCTCCCGCGACCCTGTAACTGCCTGAGCCGCGGGGCGCTGGCCCCTTGTCCTCCTGAGGGGCTCTGGAAGCAGAGCCTGGGATTAGTGACAGTGATGGTGCCGCCTAGGTCTGCGAGCAGCTGCGGGGGAGCTGGCGCTGTTTTTGTTTAAGGGTCTTCACGTCTGATTCTGTGGCTCGCCTAGAAATTCCACTGACGTTACCCAGAGTTCATTTCTGGTACTTGAAACTAAGAAAACTGATTGATACAAGCAGCTCAAAGTTAAAAAATGGAAAAAAAAAAGGCTCTGTCACGAGCTGAGTCTATCTGGGAAGGGGCTGCATGCAGTTTCCACGTTAAACGGCGTCCCTCGGCTCGTCAGACAACCCCTGGCCCTCAGCGGGTCCCCCGCACCGTGGGCCTCAGCCAGCCGCTCACAAGGGCGGTGCTCGCTGATCAGCTGTGCGCTGGACGGAAGGCAGCGCACAGCAGCAAGGACGAGTGACGGCCGCGCAGTCGACCTGCTGGGAGCGGGGCAGGCTCCCCAGGTGCGCGCCTACGCCCCGACGCGGTGCCAGCACCCAGCCTGCGAGAAGCCTGTTTCCCGTGGTCACGTTTAAAGAAACGCAGACGTCACATTCCTCAGTGACCACACAGACGGTTTGTCGTTACTATTAAATGATATGTTTTACTTTGAATGTAGAACTGACCTGTGGTCTGAGGCAGGCTAGTTTAGGGAAATGACTAACGTTTACTCACTAGAAAATGTAAAAAAAAAACTTTTGTATGTTTAAACGCCATGGAAAAAGCAAACAACGCTGAAATCGATGTCTACTAAATTTGAATAGATCGTTTTATCTAAAAGTGCTTTAATTAGGTAAACGTACGACGCCATGAAGCCTGGAGCTTACAGGCCCTCGGTGTGTTTCCCGTGTTTTGACGTCGTGTGCAGTCTCCCCGGCTTAGCATGGAAAACCCAGGCCAGTGTGTGAGCGAATATAAACTCCCACCTTTTGCAGGCCATTGTGCCAAATTATGTGCCTAATATTAAACATTCACAGGTGACCAAAACGTGGCACAGGAGCCGCCGCTCTGAACTTAGGTAACACGCACCGGAACCTAGTTGTGCTATCTTCACGTAGCCACGCCTGCACTTAAGGGACAGGTGACGCCACTGTCAGGAGCCCGGGCTGCAGAACACTGACCGCGAGGTCCGCGCGAAGGCGGACGCTCAGCCACGTCGCCGCTAAGGCTGCAATTTCACCAGGCGCCTGGTCAGGGTCAGACGCAATTGCCACGTCCGAGCACCCAAAAGCGCGCCTGATACACGTGGTAGGTGCTCAGGAGGGAGCGAAAGCTGAGTTTGCAACCTAAACTACTAGTGATATAGGCAACGGATGGTCAGAAAGCGTTCTGTTCGGAAATACGTACCCCGAAACCGTTTTAAACTGTGAGACACGCTGACTAAATCTCGCGAATGCCTCGGTCTCTCTCCGCCTGCACGTCCACAGTGTAGCTCGCACCACGTACCGGCTGGACTCACAGCTCATTCCGGAGCTGCCCTCCTTAGCCCCGGATGCTGTCACTGCACCACGTCAACGCCTGGCTGCAGCTGGCGCCGTCCCCACCTCAGAAGCCGCAAGGCGCGTGGCACCGAGACCTTTAGGGCACACCTTTCCCACATCGAACACGAGGTCATTCTGCTTCCAACAAACGTGGTTTCTGTCCTCCGAGCAAGTCCTCCGCGGGTGAAAAACTGTCTCACAGCTCGCCGAAGAGCTGAGCCTGGGGCCCTGGCCGCCGCCCGGTGGCCCCGTCCTACTCCTGCACGGGGTCAGCAGGCTGCCCTGCCAGGCTGTCCCCAAGTCTCCTTCCAGCTCGGAGACCCTCTGAGACCTACAGAGAGACCGCGCGCTCGCTGAGGGCATGAGCCAGGTCTCAGAGTCGCCCTGAAGTCTGCACGTCGCCCGGCACCATGCCGGCACTGAGCACCGGTGAGCCCGGACCGCGGCTGCGTCCCCTGCGAACACAACGTGGAACCGGCCGCAGGCGACTGCCGCTCACACGCGCAGTGGCGTCTTGGCTGTCCCGTCAGCCAGCCGAGCCGCTGCTTCCTCCCCGGGCTCTGCGGGCGGGGACACGGGGACGAACGCTGCCGGCGCGGTTTCCCCGTGAGGTCCTCGGTCCTCTCCTCCCCAAGAGCCATGGACACCGTCCCGACTTCCAGACTCACTCCGCGCACAGTGACAGGCCGGCACGGCCAGCAGCCTGAGGTGTCCCCAGTGACCCCCCAGGTGCTTGCACCCTCTGCAGTCCCCCCTCCCATGGACCAGGGCTGGTCGTGTGGCCGACAGTGTGGGACAGAAGGGACAGCATGTGCCCCCGTGACTGGCTTCGGCAGACTGGCTCCGCCCTGGGCGCCCTCCCGCCCGCGTGCTCATCCCCCGGTTCCCGACGTTGCAGTGCGTGGGAAACCCCTTCGGAGGGGCTTGGTGCGTGAAAGAGAAACCCCAGCGCCGACCAGCCCGGAGCCTCGGCCCGCCCTTGCCGGCTTACACAGGTGCTGATCTCTAGGACTGACTGTTGAAAGCTAAAGCATCTGCTCGAGTAGGAACGAATCTTTGTCACAGGAAAGAAAGCGAAAGCGACCTCACAGAAGCTGACGGGGCCCGCGGCCGACTGGGCACAGTGGGCCCAACATCGGCTCCTGTGCATCAGGAAGTCTCACGCCCGAGGAGACGCGGTGGCAGCTGACCCAGAGCTCTCGAGCCGGTTAAATGGCTTGTTAGTAACAAATACAGAAACGGAAAGATGACTTGTGCAACTGCCAGTAAACGACCGAAGCAATAATCGGTCTGGACAAAATGAGGCCGCGTGTGGGTCTCCGTCAAGGCAGACCTCCCTACCACTCCCCCCGTTCCTTCCACTTCACAAATCCGTCCTCACGTTTACTCTGTCGAAGAGGGCTCGGAAGAGGCTACGCCGAGAGGGGCTACCTGACGGCTTGGGCAGAAAAACAGGCTCGACTTGAGAAGTGCCCTCGTCAGAGCAGGAGGAGCCCGAGGACGGGGCGCGTGCTCCGTGCCCGGTACACACCCAGGCAACGGCCCTTGAACGTGAATCTCAAAATTTCTAGCACTTTACTGTAGCCTAAAAAAATAAAAACAAAACTATTTACAAAGAAATCCAAACCAGAACAAAAAGGAAATGATCCTGTAATGATTCTATTTTTCAAATCCCTGAAAAGCTCACTTTAAGAAATCAGTCCCCTGGCCAAGACAGAGCCAAACAGCACCTTGTTGTTTCTGGCCTCAGAGACATGGACAGCTCACCGTTACGACCGGGCCTTCTCCCGCCTAAGTGCTGGCATCAGAATGACAAAATTAAGTGAGTTCTGCCCTGCTGAAGCGGAAGACAGCCTTCCTGAGCACGAGCTGACCCGGAGCCAAACCCATGGTTCTGGCAGAGACGCCCAGGCGGCCCTAGGGTGGGGGACAGGGTGTTCCCTAAACACGCCCTGCGGAGTGTGAGACAGTGCGGTGGGAACACACTGCCCTCGAACCAGCAGCATCTGCTCCATGGAAGCTTCGGTTACGCTTCTGCCGGAGGCATACAAGTTCTCCCCAGTGCTGTGGTCTGATTTGTTTAAAAAATAAAAGTTCCAAATGTCTTTGCAAGACTAAGAAAATGTCATCATTCTTTTATGCCTACCAAAAAAAGTTATCTTATTTCTATAAAGTTGCCTCCTGAGCATTTCTAACACGCTGTCTGTGCACAGCTCATTGCAAACTTAGTCCTCTACAATCCTAAAATGTACAATGAACCTCTAATACGTTTTCTCTAAGACTAAACTCTCTTGGAATTCATCTAGAATCCCAGTGTTGTGCTTTATAATTGTATCTGGTGGTTTATCAGATGATGGTCATCGTCAAGAATGTGTACTGGCCCACTGCGGGTCACTTCAAAGAGCTTCTCATTTCCAACTTCCTCGTACAAGGTGCGTTTCTCACGACAGGTCAGAGAAGTTGCTGGTGGCCCTATTACAGCAGGTAAGTGGGCCAGAGGAGGAAGGCCACCCCAGCTTCGTCCCAGCCTAGTATGGTACGTCAGGGAAGGTGGTCAGTCAATCGCACACTGTGTCCCCTTTTCCACGAAGAACCCAGATTTCCTGAGTGCTTTGTACTCTCCTCTGGGACTCCCTCTTGGAGCACAGTGCTCTCTGTGCTTGTCAAATTTTGCCTTCTCCATTAGAAGCAAGCGCCCCACGCGCCAACATCTTTGCACCATCTCAGAGAATCACCGTCTCATCTGCATTTTACTTAACAGCCGGCACTCACAGGAAAACGAAATGTAAGCGTAATACTATCGATGTCAAGTTCATCAGTACTATGGATTAAATAAACAGGCTTCTAAGGTTTGGCCTAGGAACAGTATCACCATTTACATAATGCAGGAAACTGCCTGAGTTCCAAAACCCTAACTTACAGACTCGCTCTGGGAGCGCAGCGCGGAGTTCTCAACACCCAGAAGCCCCCAGGCCGCGAGCCTGCAGAGCAGTCCGGATGTCCTGTGCCAGCTTTCCATTTTTGTAAATAAAAGAGAATGAATTTTCTTTAAAAATACGGTAATTTAAAAACTTGAGATCTTTTCATTTTTAAAAGAGTAATTTTAAAAGCAGTATAAAATGTAAAAAATGTATTGTATGAAAACAGTGGAAAATGTTTCAAAATTAACGTATGGATATTTACCTGACCAACCGAACATTTTAAATGTCTGCCAGTTAACCCAGGGACTCCTGGCTACACAGAGCGGTCTCACGTTGCGCATAAACCACACTTTCAACTCACCGTTGATGTTCACTGCGGGTAACACAATGGACATCTTTGGCCTGGTGGTCTTGTTGTGCGTGGTCGCCGGCAGCAGTAGGTGATCCTAGGATTAACAAGGAACAACCCGTTACGCATGACAACTGGCCCCGTCCTGTAACAGGCCGAGTTGGGGCTTTCTAAGATGCCAACATCTCACTGGGATTGTAAAAAGCGGCAGTTCTGATCTGAACTCGGCCTGGGGTAACAAACCGCAAGCCACGCCGTGACCCCTGCATCGCGACACAGTGAGCCTGCGCCTGCGTCTCCACTGGCAGGCACGGCGCAGCCTTTGTGGCCCCGGTTCTGGTGACACACGCTGCGGCTCACTGCATAGAGCATGAGGCAGGTGCTCAGAACTGAGATTCTGACCCGCTTCTGCCACAGAACAGCTCTATGAGCTGCACCTGTTTCGAGGCCTGAAAAATGAGGGGCTAGACCAGATAATGACACAAGCCACGAAGTTATCCATGTGAGTAATTTTCAATCTTATTTTTAAGAGGAACATTTCCCCCGCAAAAAAGCTGACCCCAAATCAGTGCTTGATGGGAGCCCCACCCACGAGGCCTCCTGCCCCTCGGAAATCAGACTGCTTTGTAAGCGGCAGGCACACAGGGACACGTAGTTCTTGCTCTTAAAAAGCAGGCAGCTCAGTGGGAGAGTTAGAAAGGCCGTAAACACGTGTCCACACAACTGCCCGGTTCTAACGCTGCCAACGCAGCGACCTGCAAGTAACCAGGGCGTCTGCGGTTTCCGGTCCCCAACCTCACATACGCCAGAACAAGCCGAGAGGAATCTGGCTTCAAAAAAGGGGAGCGCAAGCGTTCTGGAAAAGGCGTGTGCGTCTGCGGGTATTCCAGAGCTGGTTATAAACAGCTTACGGCTTTGACGTTGACTGCCATTTTCAGTAACTCCTTTTCCTAGTAAAAACAGGAATTGTCACAGCAAAAAGAATAAAAAAAGAAAAGCGTGTACACAAGTGTTTCCATTTAAGGGAGCAAAGTTAAACTGCAAGAACGTGGGGCCCGCGCTGAACCCCACTTGCTCTCTCTTCTTGTTCCTTTGTTCGTCTGCTTCGCCATTCATTTGACAGACTCACTATACAGAAGACTCATCAAAAAGTAGGACTCGACATGAGAGTGATAAAAATTCAATGCAGCTTAAAGTCGCTATGATGATGGGACGTAACTATCAGCAAAGCTCAGAAAAAAATCTAGAAGGGAAACAAACTGAAAGTAATGAACATGAACAGAACTGGATAGAAAAATTTCTAGTAACTGCTTGTGTTTGGTCTAATTCAAGGCAACATTTCCATGAGAATATGTTTTTTAAAAAGAAAAAGATAAGTGAAGCTGGTCTGTGCAAACTCCAGCATCGCGACACGGGAGTTGTTTAAACGCATCGTCACACACAAAGATCACATATTTCTGAGAGTACGATAACGCGTTAGCCAAGAAAAAGCAAAATCTGCTGACCTTCATGACACAAACTTATAAATAGCTTAATTCCTATCATTAAAATACTGCTTCAGGGTCCCCAAAATTGAATGAGAAAACAAACCAACAAACTTGCAAGCCCCAAATTAGGGCCACTGTGAAAATAAACACAGCTAGAGTACACTGGTCATGAATGATGGCCGGGCTCACATCTGAATTCCTGCTTCGGCCGGGGTGCCAACCCACATGCTGCTGGGCACATGATTTTCTGAACATACCATCTCCCCCCTACTCTCTTCATTAAAGGTCAAACGAAGCAGTTAACTTCTGTGGCAGAAAGCCAGGACAGTTATTTACGAAAAAGAAGAACCGCACCTTGAATGTGTAAGAATTATTAGTCACCCTGCCTTACCCCTAATCACTATGGGTCTGCGAGCGGGGGCCCTGGGTTGCGACCACTTAAAGTGCTTGTTTCCAAGGGGCCCAAAGACGGCACCACGGAGGCAGAGCCGGCACGCTGCGAACTCCAGTGTGTACCTGAAGTTACCAGCGACTCACACGCACGAACCGTGGGGATAAACGTGCTGCCCTGTGGCACCGCCTCGACTCTGTAGGGCCGAGGAACCGCGGGCAGCTTCACGGAGCAAACTACGTGGGCAAGCATTACAGCCAGCGCTTTGTCACTCTCGTCCCCAGAGGTCAGAGGACAGACACTGCTGGGAAACACCAAACATTTCACCGTGGGAACAGAAGCATCGGTTTTCCTATGTTACGCAACATCGTGCGTGAGAAAATATGCTGTTTTTGTACGATTCTCCCAATCCCCTCTCCCAAGCACTCTGTGAAAAAGCCGAAGCGTCAGTGCGCAGAGCAGCGCCCAAGGTCGTATGCTTCTCCTCGTCCTGGAGACGCACTTACCAAGTGAACAGAGCCGCGCCCTGCCCCGCCGAAGGCCAAGGCCGTGATGGCGATTCATCATAAACTTAAAGTCCTGCCAAGTGTTTAAGATGTGGATTCTACGCGTTGAGTGGAGAAAAACCAACCTCAACGTACACTGACCTGCTAGATTAAATGACCGTTCGCATGCCCTCTCGAACCTACTGACAAACACCCACAGCCCACGAAACTTCAGCACTGAGTTGTGGTTTTTTTCCAAAACTACTTTTGCTATTTGTATTTGTTAGTGTAGTTGTGTAACGTAACGAAATAGTACACAAACTGATAAAATACAGTGTGAAGATACAGCAAGATTTTATAAAAGTGAACGGGCTAAAATTATTTTTTCTCTCATTGCAAGACGACCACAGAAGACTGGCGACAGAACCCCAACGCCTGCATCAGGCTGCTCAACGGGCATCTCCAAGCTCTTTAGTTTAACTATAACCGATCCTGGAAATTACAGTCAATGCACCGAGTGTGGTTCATGCAAGAAAGTCAACGTGGAATGCTCGTGGGTCTGGACTCGAGGAAAAGGTCTTGGCCCTACCCCGAAGGCTGGCAAATGAACGCACGTTTACATGATTAAATGAAGTAAATGAAAACGCACGCATGCTCCAGAGAGCCAGAGGGCCAGGAAGTCTCTGACCCTGCACGACCTCATTCAATAATCCGAGCAGATCCAAGTTCAAACATTCTCGGCTGCAATACTGAGCTTTTTCAAAGGCTGGATGGACAGGGTATGCTTTAGGGACCGAAGTGAGAACCCCTGAAACTTGTCATCGATCACCATTTGTTGAGTACCAACAGCATGGCAACACAAAAAAAAGTCTTATTAATGAAAAGGAGCAAACGCTAAACGCATAAAGAGTTGAACCATGTGGGAGTCTGTCAGAGATAACGTTTACAAGATGTTTCGTTTTAGAAATTCACTTTACTCAGGACTACTGGTAGGAAGCGAATTTCCTGAAGACTAAATTGCATCCCACAGATCTGCTCCCCAAACAAGCCATGGGAGGGCGGGGAGGGCGGGGAGGGCTGAGGCTGCAGCAAACTGAGTCAGCAAGTTTCCTGAGGAAAGAGATGGTTAGAAAACACTTCAAGGAAAAAGTTAAATATAGCTTTCTAAGAGAATTATTTTTGTTGGAAAAAATGGGGAAAATGCTGGGTTGAAACAAGAAAATAATGTTTCAAAGTTCTCGGCAAACGCTATAGGAATGGGGTGAACTCATGCAAGAGCAGCCTCACGCTGCGGGTGCCCGAGCGTGCGCGTGTTCCCGCGGTACCTGTGTATGCGTGTGCATGCGTGGGCCCGAGTGTGTGCGTGTGCGTGTGCATGCGGCGCGGCAGCGTGGGGAGGGACCGGGGGATCTTGCGCTGACTGACTCCTGCGTACCACGGACTCTGCACCCCCTGGAGGCAGAGAGAAGAGGGGTGCTAGCTGCCTAGTCTGTATCCTAAAGCTCCCTCCCCGTACGGTTCTCAGTGTCTGGATGGTCTTCACTAAAGATCTTGACGCTTTTCTTTCAAAAGGAATTCAAACAGAAGCTCTTAACCGAGGACACGTCAAATGATGCCCTGCAGGACTCTGTTACATGGGGTCCCCAAGCCTGCCCCACAAATAATTCCACACTGTACACTCTCCCTGGTGACGGGGTGTAGACGGATCGTGGGCAAAGACTGCAGCGAGGCCGCCTGGGCCCGCCCCCCAGGTCTGCACCCTGCCTCGCCCACCTGCCCTCCAGTTGTGGGGTTGAGCCAGCGCCTTCCTCTCCCTGTGCCCTGTGCCCCCTGCCGGTCACCTGGGAAAGTAACCACACCGACTGTTTAATATTTATCACTGATAAAGATTAAACGAGTTGACCCCTCAAAGCACCTAGAACAGTGAATGGGACATAGAAAGCACTATTATATGTGTTCAGTGTTTTTAAAAGTCCAAAATATTTGTAGTCATAGAAATCCTTGAGCAAATGCAACAGGTGGCCTGAGCACGGATGCCGGTACCTATTGGGGTTCACTCCCTTCCACACCAAGGTGAGAGCCACTGTCCACTGCTGAGTGAAGCAGCTGCAGGTGACAGGCTCTCACGACTGCCCCACTCAGCCTGGAAACGGAAGCTCCACCACGTGGCCCCTTCTGGTCTGGCCTCTTCCATCGTGATCTCTCTCCGTTCCTGTTCACAAACACTGGTGCCAACCACTAGATGTTCTCCATGAACTGAACCTAGACAAGACGACACCCTCACATTCCCCTTCCTTTCGTTTAAAAGATGACGGGGAAACAACCGAAGCACAAGTACTCAGAGTGCGTGCCCTCTGCCCACTCTCTGCGCGCCCTTCCCAAGGGCTGCTTCTGAGTGCTGCTGGAGTACGCGGCGGGGTGAGGACCAGGGGAGAGGTGAGCGGAGCAGCTAAGTGGGTGAGAGTGATCAGCAGGGAAAACGGCTGCGGACTGGAAGGGGAGAGGAGATGGGTAAGAGGACACCCTGAGCCGTGGCCTTTGTGTGACAGGAGAGGCTGGGACTCTACAGCGTGGAGGGGGGGACTCGAATTGGGGGCGGGGACTTTAGAGCGTGGGGCGGGGACTGGAGT